TTCTGGAGTTATACATGAGATTCTTTTGGATTCTGCATATCTTAGTTAAACAATTATAACTGAACTATTTTATGCCTAACACAACAGTGATGGACTAGACTTGGCTAACAACCAAATGCCCACCCAGCTGCTCACTTACTACCCGCACCCTCAGCAGAAGAGAAGGAGAAAATAGGAAGAATAGGAATGAGAAAACTCATGGGTCAAGATGAAAACAAGGAGATTGCTTATCAATTACCCTCATGGGCAAAACAGACTTGGGGAAAATTAATTTATTGTCAATTAAAATAAGCCTTTAATTAGTGATTTGGGTAGTGGGAAACAAGAAGAGAAACATTAAAACAATGTCTTCTTCCCTTTTCTATGCTCAGCTTCATGCCTAGCTCCTCTACCCTCCCCAGAGACACAGGGGGGATGCGGGGTTACAGTCAGTACAAAGCAGTTCCTCTCTGACACTTCTTCCTCCTCACACCTTTCCTCTGCTCTACATGGGTCCTCCATGGGCTGCAATGAAATATCTGCTCTGGCACCATGCACCACCCCTCCTCCTCCTCTTCCGACCTTGGTGTTTTCTCTGCTGTTTCTCACTCTTTTTATTTCCTATGTGGTGTTCTCTGCTTTTTCTTAAATGTGTTTTCACAGAGGCAGCACCAGCTTTGCTGATGAGCTCAGCTGTGTCTGCAGTGGGTCCACTACCCCGCTACCAAACCTTGCTACATACACCCAGCACATAAATCTAAGGAAAAATCAAATTGTGGGGAACTCCTCAAATGCTAAATATTTTTCAAGTGGATCAGGATTTTCCTCTATTAAATATAAATTGTGGGTTTTTTTCTGAAAGATAGTGGCACAGGAGTTGATCATATTAGAGGTAAATGCAGCACAGAAGTTATCTGAATAATATGGAATATTTCCAAACCTCCCAAATTTACAGCTGACAGCCCAATTTGGAGATAATAATTTCAGTGTGATCTGAGTCACAACATAGATCCTTTGCTAGGAAAGCCCTCTTTCATGGAAAAACATTTTCTTCAGAAAATAAGATACATGCTGCTGGAATGGATACAATGCATCCTGTTCTCCATTTCAGCTTCTAGAGGCTGCTGAAGCTTTTATCAACACCCTTTGGAAGGAGACACACAGAAATGAAACAAGGCAAAGCATGGTACAAGATCCAGAGATTATGTCCTCATTCAGATTTTTCATGGCCTTGAGGAAATTTTGAGTTTCATATTATTTTTCAATTTAGTCTCTTTTCCCCAGCATAGCTAGCTTTCTTTCACTGGAAGAATCAGAAGTAGTGAAGGGCAAAAGCCTAAAGCTGACAACCCATAACTTCCCTTAATCACCTACAGATTAGGTTCATCACTGCTATACAATTCACTAAGGTGTTTAAGATCGATCCTGGAAGAAGTGAATAGTTATGAATAAAGGGTGTTTTGAATTTCATGTGTATCCTGTTCTTCATCTTGGTAGAGGCACTACTAGTACTCATTCTCTGTGGTGAGAGAACCCAGGCTCCAGTAGAGCACTTTTTCTAAGAAGGCAGCTAGTCTTTACCTGAAGGAAACGAGGCATGGGAAACATCGCTTCCTACAGTAGTTTGTTCCAACACTTAGTCATGCTCACTGTTAAAAATACATGCCTGATTTCTAGTTTGAATTTGACTGGCTGTAGCTTGGTGGGTGTTGCACCTTTTTCACTGAGTGAAAAAGTCCTTTACCACCTGCACTTTTCCCCTGTGCCCATATCTGCATGTTGTGATCAGATCACAGTTTTCATCTCCCATATTTCCATTTACTTGTTAGTTTATATGCTATTATAGCTATCTAACCAAAGGATTAGAGCTTCCCCAAAGGGATTTCTTGATATGGTTGAGGAAATGAATATGTGAAAATCAAGATAACCTGTCAGTTTATTTCACAGAAGGTGCTTCAAACCTTGAGGCAAAATTTCACTGAAACTAATGAATTTGTCCCCATTTAGCTTGAAAAGTTTGGTCTTTTCAGGACGAGATATATCACTGAATGCTCTTGGTCAATTTGATGGTGGTGAACCTAAAAAGAAAAGCTTTCTTTCCCATTTCCAGTCTCACTGCTCAACCAGATTAGACAAAGCTACACTCGATACTGTTGGGAAACAGGCACACAGTACAACCATGTTCCGGTTGCAGCTATTAGCCACTAACATTAATGTAATATCACATAGTACACAGAATACTGTCTCGGTGCCCTGCTCTGCACACCATGCCTCACTGTGTGCTCCACTCAGCCTCTCTTGTCTCTCCTTTCATGTCAACATCCCATGTTGTGAAATGGGATGCAATCTCTCTCTCTCTCATGTCTTCTCTGCTCCGTCAGTGCAAAGGAAGGTGACAACTCCTATATCACAGCTGGTGGCACTTTCCAAGCAATGTAGGAGAACGGAGGTGTCATGCCAGTGGGTCACAGGAATGGGGTTTTGCCAAGGAGAGGGAGTCAGAGAGAAGGACGGAGTAACAGCAACTTCTACACTACTTGCTTTGGCTGTGGAGATAAGTGCCCTCAGAAAAAGTCCTGCAACACCCATACCCCACTTGTGAGATCAGATCACTTGGACAATAGGGAAGGGTTAGTGAGGCTGGAGGAAAGATGTCTGCCTCCATCTCCTGTCCCCTGAAGTTCCCCTTACCTCTGTCTAAAAGTTTTAATACAATGCTGATTTAGCATGGATTCCTGATGGCTTTTTGTTTTATGAAAAAAAGACTAATTTCAGCCCTTCGTGACTGCTGCATTCCTGACAGATTAATGTCATGGTGGGTCTCAATGTAATTTATACAGTTTAAGAATGATCTTGAGCTGTGAGATTCCTGTAGATGTCTCTGTGGTAAGCTGAACTTCACAGAGAAGACAGGCTGTGCTAATAAACCACTGGAACTGAGAGAGTTTTCTTCTCTAGTGTCCAAAAATAAGATGCTGAAAATAATAATTTTAAATGGCCAACCTGACGTTTTGCTAATTCTCTGTGGAAGTATGGCCGTCGTGGGGAAGCCCTTTTGATGCAGGTGCAGAAAATGACAATGAACCTAGGACATATTTTTAATCAATATTGTGACCTTCCTGCACATAAATGGCCCATGATTGACTGAAATTATCTATAGACAGTAACAAGAGCAATACACACACCCACACGTACAAGGCTCATTACTACATGCCTTGACCACACTTTGGAAAGACTGTAGTTTTTTTAAAGGTACAGGAAACATTCAGACCTGGCAACACCACCAGTTCCATACCTTTCTCCAAGTGTAGTGGGGAACATGTTTTGCACAGAAATCCCTCCTAAACTGCAGTCTATCATTTCAGAGCGGCCTTAAAAACACAGTCATATATTAGCAAATCTCACCACCATCAGATATTTCAGACTTGAATCATATGCTTCTCTTTACTTCCTTCTGTTTTTTCTTCAGGTGGTGTTAAATGCAGTCTGAATAGAAAGGGAGAGAAAGAGAGAGAGTTTTTACAAGAAAGGCAGAAAGATTAGGATTCAAGTTTGGATAGATTATTGTTGTTGTTGTTATTATATAAAATTAGTTTCTGTTTCCCTTGATCCCCATAATGCAAGAACAGCAGGATGCCTCACCTCATACCAACTTCAAGGCAAGAAAAGGAAGGAACTTTTCCTTCACTGCATAAATGGGCTGTGTATGTCCTTATCACCAGATATTGCTGAAATAAGAAAACAAGCAAGACTCCATAAAACATTAGATAATCATGAACTGCGGAAACACTAGAAATCAGAACAATGCAGGCGCAGTACTGAAACAGATATTAAGCTTTATGTACCGGCATTTAAACCAATACCTATCTCCTGAAGGTTAGAAAGTGTCTTGCACCTTTCTGTGAATGATCTGATGCTGGACTTTAATTTCTTCGCTAGAAATGTCCATTTTATTAGAGTCACCTTCTCTCAGCCTTACTGCTGTTTACTAAGCAAAATGAGACAGAAATAACTGTCCAAATCCCAAATCAGGCAGAAGAATCTCCTGCTTCTGCTTACATGTTTAGCATCTCTTGCAGAAAATGAAATAAATGCCTCTATAGCCTGAAAATGTCTCCATACACCAGCTTCTTTCCACTAACCTCCATTGATTTATGTCAAGGAAGAATTTCCCACAGATTTCTCATGCTCTCTTACTCCAGCTGCTTGAAATAATAGAGGACATATCACATACAGCCTTCGTATTCTGTGCAGCCACACTGGGGATAATAGACACGGCATGACAGGCAGGGTAGTGCAGAGGTTAGTCCCAACCTAGCTGAGCTAGCGGATTTCTAGGCCACATTGTTAGAAGTGCTGCACATGGTGTTCAAATGCAGAACTTCCTCCTTCATACCCTTAGCTTGCCCACTCTCAACTGGGAGATTGCTAGGAAGCATCTCCATTGGGAAAAAAAATAGCCTCAGGCTTTGCTGTCAAGTGAAGATATCCTGTTCATTCCTCAAGCCAAGGATTTCAGTGTTTTAAGGAATCAGAGAAATGAAACTACTTCTTCCTATTGTTTAAGCAGAGCCTTAACAATTACTTATTTCTGTGCAACCTCCTGACCGATGAAAAGAGGGGCTGACTCCAATGCTTTGGACCTCCAGCACAGAGGGAAACTAGGATTCGTCTGGAGGTTCCTGCTCCTTTCCTCTCACCAAACATCTGTCTCAGTTCATCCGGTCCTCTGAGTCACTTCCTCCCCACTTTTCTGTCATCCGCTCTCAGTGCACTTCTCCAAGTAAGCCCAGCCGTCTTTGCCCAATCTGGAGCAGGGTTCAAGGGAAGCCTTGCTGGGAGGTAGGCTAGAACGTAACCACAACGTAATCACAAGGTGAAGTTCCTAGGCATTGTGGCCTGTGCGGGAGTTTGGGGCGGGTGAACATCATGCATTTTAGTGATCTTAATGGTGATTTCAAGAGAGACCCAACATTTCATACCAGTAGGAACTGTGTGCCTTCTGCGTACATCAGTGACAGCTCCAAGTAAGCTGATACGTCACTGCGTTGCACTGGGTGGAATCGTTGGTCCCCACCGGGTAGCAGTTAGTTGCACGAACAAGTTGCTGTGCCCTGGCTACGTGCAGTGCTGTGCTGACTTGACTGTACCGTTTCTATTTCTGAACTTAGCTCAAAGCCAGCTCAGGGAGCTCTGCACTGTCAGCAACTGCACAGCATGGACACGGCCCACAGAAGCTATTGAGACAGGAATCCAAGGAGTGATGGGAAGCAGAGTTTCAGACTAGGCTGCAGGGAGGTGTATAGTACATTTAGCCCCTACACCCAGCACACGCAGAAGTACTTGGAAACATAATACGTTTTTTACCTACACATGTGTATAAAGGGTGAACAACAGCTCTGAATTCAAAGTCAGGTCCTCCAATTTCAGGCTTGCTATTAAATGCAAGCTTCCCTGCAGGGAGAGGGACTCTGGGAATGTGGGCGTCACCTCAGCCTTACCTACCCTCCAGTAGGAGTTGTGTAAAAGAAACCATATTCTCATCAGGACTTTCAGGTGTGTGGGTGTTTCCAGGAATAAACAATACCCAACCACAGAACAACCAGGAAGCGGCTTTATAAGCATACTATGTCACTTTACTGCCTCAAAGTTTATAAATTTTATCTCCGTAGCCAGCCTACCGCATTATACATTCTACTAGGGGACTTGCCATGTGGTGGGACCAATGGGCCAGGAAATGACTACTGCACGCTGCCCTTCATGGCATGCTGAAAGCAAGAGCTGACATTACGGAGCCTGCAATTGCAACCATTCAGACAATCAAATTTTGGGCAGACCTGTCAGTCATATTCCAGGTAGACTGGATGAACTCTGTTAGAGTTAAGAACTGGAATAGTTGGAGGAACAGCCAGTCAGAGTAAAGTGCATCAGCAAGATAGATATGGGAGAAGTTTTGCATCTGCCCACACAAAAAGTGATGCTATCCAATACTTTTGCTTTCTCTTTCATGTACCCCAATATGCAAAATTAATACATTTTGTTACAGAGTATGCAAATAAAACTTATGAAATTATTTTTCCTTCATTACAAATGTAACAAGTTCTAGGCGTAAGACAGGTCATCAAAGGCGGGAAATTCACTGACAAGAGAACACACTGCTATCTCTGAAAGAATTAAAGTGGTTTTAATGCCCTATACATCAGACAAGGCCATTGCATAATGTAATCCAGCCTTAATTTCACTTCCTTGCCAAATTCCCAGACAAAACCGTTGTATTTCATTGCTGGGGTGAGCACTTACTCAGCGAGTACAACAGATCTGTCAGTACACAGAGAATCATGATGCTTTTCCAGAACCATTCCCAGCGTCAGAGATAACTGGATTTACTCATTTATGTGCAGCCTGTTGAGCTATTTGTATGGTCCCAAGATTTCGCATCCTCAGCTGACAGAGAAAGAGAGAGCAGGGAGAATTCTTACATGGAGAAAGTCATGGTAGCTCCACAAGAAATAAAGAGAACCAGGCCATCTTAAAAGTTTATACCAGCTGAGGTTCCAGCACTCTAATATTCATGTTATCATTGGAAATTAAGTTTCTGGAAAGAATTTAATTTCTGTCTGCACCTTGATAATTAAAATCCAGCTTTACAGCTCCTGCACTTGTTGTTGAACAAGCTATTAGCATGGAATCTGCTGTCAGCAAGGACTTTAAGGCTGAGTAAAACCACTTCAAACAGAGCAGATCATAGACTGTGCCTTTGTCAAATAATATCTGATGACATTATGATAATTAACATAAAATGGGTCTGCAGTAACCCACACTGAAAACCACAGGCAGAGCCCAGACCTGTGCTCTCAGAACACAGAAGACAGGGAAAGTTCAGTCTCCAGGAAGGCCGTGATGGCTCTGCATAGCACCTTAAACCAACAACGCTTGAGTTTTCTCTGCTGCTGTGTCGAAAAGTGCACTTACTGCAAGTGTGTCTTTAATCGCACCTTGTTGGCAACATCTTCATCCTCAGATATGTCTCAGGCTTCAGCTTGAGCTATCACGATCAGTTTATCCCTCTCCTTCTCCTCCTTTCCATCAAATGCACACTACATTTCTGACTGATGCAGCCAGCAAACCCTGACAACTTTCCTCCCTCTACATGCTTTATTTCTCCATCCAGGTCATCCTCTGTCCCACTCCGGCCTTTCTCAGGGTCAATTCCTCTGTCATGGGATCCTGGCTCTCAATGTGTAACTGAGAGAACAGGCTCCAGTGAATAAGAAATAAAGTACTTGTCACTTCTTGTGGTAAATTTATGTTTTCAGTTGTCTCCCACCACAGACTTCTCGTATCTCACTTCCCAAGTTCTGTTGCCTGTAGCAGAACTTTGACAAGGTAGATGAAGGAACTGTTGCAGTACTTCCCAGATTCAGCCCTCCTCAGATTTCTAAGTGTCGTCATGTCCCTATGGATGTGATCAACAAGACAGCAACTACGTTTGCACCAGCTAACAAGAAAGAAACACGAGATTTCCTAGGTCTCGTGGGATTCTGGAGAATGCATATTCCAGGTTATAGTCAGCTGGTGAGCCTTCTCTATCGAGTAACCTGAAAGAAGAACTATTTTGAGTGGAGTCTTGAGCAACAACAAGCCTTTGAGCAGATCAAACAGGAGATAGCTCATGTGGTAGCTCTTGGGCCTGTCTGGACAGGACCAGCTGTGCAAAATATACTCTACACTGCAGCCAAGGAGCATGGTCTCACCTGGAGCCTCTGGCAGAAAACATCAGGAGAAACCTGAGGTTGACCACTAGTGTTTTGGAGCCAGGGGTATTGAGGATCAGAAGCTCACTGCACCCCGACTGAAAAAGAGATACTAGCAGCATGTGAGGGGGTTCAAGCTGCTTCAGAAGTTGTTGGTGCAGAAGCATATCTTCTCTTGGCACTGCAACGCTGGGCGTTCAAAGGAAACAACCCCTCTACACATCATGCAACCAGCGCTACATGGAGTAAGTGGGTAGCATTGATCATGCAGCGGGCTCGACTGGGGAAACCCAGCTGCCCAGGAATCCTGGAAGAGATCATGGACTGGCCAGAAGGCAGAGATTTTGGAGCATTGCCTCAGGAGGTGGCTGGTGCCCAAGAGGCACAACTACCTAACAAGTTACCAGAAGATGAAAGGCATTATGCTCTGTTTACTGATGGATCCTATCGTGTTGTAGGAAACCATCAGAAGTGGAAAGCATATTTAGAGGATAGTTAGAGGATAGTTTGCTCTCTTCCAAAATTTCCTCTATCCCATTGCATCTTTTAATTTTTTTCATGTTCATGCAGCAGTCATCTATCCACTATGCCACATGTCTGCACATTTATACCACCTTAGTTTCCTTGTCTTCGCATCAAATTTGAGCACTATTTCTTTTACATTTGAGGCCTCATACTGCTTACATGTTGCCTACTTCTCTCTCCAGCCTTGTATCTTAATCTCTACTTACATAAACACCTCTTCTTCCTCTCCATGCCCTTGTGTAAAATATAGCTATGATTGATAGTTGTTCACAAGTGTTACTAATTCCTAGATCAATGGTAAAAACTCAGAAAATAAACCAGAGTGTTACTGTGAATAGCATATCGAAAACCTCAGAACACTGCAGAGGAGTGTCAAAATGTTGAATTGAATTTAAAAAACAAGTGGGGAAAAATATACAGAACGTCCTCCCACACACAACTGCAGTCAATAAATAAGATGATTCTGTGACCAAGATGATCCAGCTGAATTTCTGTCTTACCTGATTTTCTTTGTATGATCATTATCAGTCTTTTTTTTTACTTATTTACCTAAGATCTTAATTTACACTCCTCCGTTCCAGTGAACATCAATGCAGACCATTTTTGAACACCAGTCTGATCAAACAAAATTACCAGAACACCAGACTACAGTCACCAGTACAGGTTGCCAATGTTCAAACGTGGTGTGCAGTCCTAGCTCCTGAGCAGTTCTATTTCCTGCCAACTCTGATCTATTTTCTGTCTTTACCTCTTATGTCTCTGTCCTCTGTGGTAGTTATTCTTACTCGTAGCTTTCAACAGCTGAGGCCTTTTGTCTACTGCTGGCCTACAGAACTGTGCTGTGGCTTAAGAAAGGAAAAGAAAGCCTGAATCTGAAGTTACTAGATCAGTGAGGAAGTGGGGAAACAGGTAGAGTATTATTTTTAAAAAACCTACACAACAGTATTCTGAAAAAACCAGAGTTTTTCAGTGAAAGATGTGGACCAGCTTCAATTTCTGTATCATTTGTCTTGAAAAGTATGTAAAATAGGCTTTTATTTTCCCTTAAAACTCAGTTTCTCCCCCCCAGGGTCTGGAAAGCCTTGTGGTTCAAGATGAGAACTACGCTGCCAGTAGCTAAGTAGCTACTGAAAGGAGAAATCATTAAAAATGTCACTTGCGGAGAAGACTTGAGACTGCTTATTTTTTTGAGGGAGAGGAATCTTCTTGGAGGCAGTGACAAAGAAGTGACAAAGAAGTAGCAGTAGTAGTAGTAGTAGTAGTAGTAGTAGTGACAAATATGAAGAACAAGTTTCTCTTCCCAAGACTAAGATTTCCTTCTTGATATTAAACTCAGCCTTGAATAATCTCCTCTGCTTTTACCCTCTCTGAGCTCTGCTGCAGGGTTTATCTTCACTCATCAGCCTCCTGAGGAGAGCCAATGAACGGAAGGCAGAGTTGTTCAATCTGTTTCCTCAGTGTTCGCCTAGGCTCTCAGCACAGGAAGCCTAGTGCTCTGAAAAGTCAGAAGGAGGAACCTCTCCAGCTTTGAGGAGCCAGTCGATCAGGAGCACGCACAGCTAGAGGAGAGGAGTGAGAAAGGGAGAGAGAAAACACTGACATTGGCTGCTGAGGATGCACTGGCAGGGAAGAAATACTCCCCATGACCACAGCTAGGTTGGCGGTGGGATGGATGGAGTGACGGAGCTGCCTGAGCCATGAAAGCAGGAGCCGACATGGAGATTGCTGGAAAGACTGTGTGTGTTTTTGTGCTGCTCACCATCACCAA